ATGGCACGGCGGGATAGTGAAAACAACCCCCCGCTCCGAGCCGGCCCGTGAAACGCCGCGCGGCACCGACAGCAGAGGCGCCTCCCGCCAGCCTGAGAACGGCTCGGGGGCTCCCCGGAGGGACAGGTCAAGAGCGGCGATAAGACAGAGGTGGGGGGCGGGTACCTGCGGGCTGTCTTGCAAAGCCTCTTCCAGGAGGAGTTTGTCCACGGCGGGCATGTTGGTTCTCCGCGGAGCGTGAGTCACTGAGCCGGATGAACTCCGCGGCTGCAGAGCGTCCCAGCCCTGACACGTATTGCTTGGCTGGCTGCAGCGGGGAGCGAGGCGTCCAACCTGGGCTTCTGTCCCCTCCCCGCGGCTGCTTTGTGCAGGAGTCAGGTAAACACCGCCGGGCGCCCCAGCCGAGCCTGCTACCCAGGCACCGAGTCAGGAGCGCTCCTCCTCCTCCCACAAGGCAGCGAGTCACGAGGAAGAGTGACAGCTGGGGAGATCCCCTGGCAGGAAGTGTGGCTGCTGAGCGCTTCCTGCCTCGGTTAACTCTTTGCAGAGCCGCAGACGCCAAACTCTCTCCCACGCCCAGCGCGGGGTGGGTGACTCAGTGCCTGACCAAGACTCAAAATGAGGGACGCGGGGAAATTATTCACGCACAGGACACCTAAAATGCCGGGGGGGGGTTCCCAATACTTTCACTTTCGTGTGTCCCTGTAGCCGGTGGGAAGTCCAAGAAAAGTGAGGGGATGCTAAATTTGAGTAGAACGTGGGGACTAAACTGAGGGATGTGCCTGGAAATGAGGGGTGGCTGCTAGATATGCACTGACACTTTGAGTTGCTGGCCTAACTTCCCAACTGAATTAAATGCGACAATAAAATTAGTTTAACAGCAAATCCAGTGGTCAGCCTTTAGAGCAGTGGTTCCCAAACCACCAGCTGCATTTTGTCATGATGGAGAAGTGGGCAGGAGTGGGTCACAATGCCCAGCACGCGAAGCCAGTCCCAAGCCTCCAGCACAGGAGCTGCCTCTGGGAAGAGTGCAGGGGGTTTGCTCCAACACTCCAATCCACCCCTGGACCTCCCCCTGCACCAGGCCAGTGACCTGTCTACAACTTTCCCATGGAACACTGCTTCAGAGGATTTATTAGAACATAAATCTGAGAGTCACTCTCCCGAGGTTTCAGTGATCGGTTCTCCCCATTCTTGCATCTGCGGCCCTGTCCACTGGCACAAGCAGAACGGGGCATGAGGCGACGTTTCCACTCCCCCTCCAACCTTTTATTCTCCTAGGGTTGTCCCCCTTGGTGATGTTATGGAACTCATACATCCTGTCTGTCCCCGCACACTTTGTGTTTAGGCATGTTGTCTGTCTTGTGTGGGCCAGATTCTGTGCTCTGCTTTTCAAGCAGTGCAGCACAGAAGTCACAGTCCAAGAGTGGAAGTAAAGGGGGCTCCCATGTTCTGTGGGCTACTCTGTAGGCCCAGTGCAGCCCCTGGTGTAAGTTAGAGCAACCTTACTTGTCTGTCTACTTGGCAGCCCAACATAACAGAAGCAGAGTGCTCCTGGCTCGCTCCTATGTGAGAGGGAATGTGCTGAGAGCTTCATCCCTTACTAACAATGGCAGATTTTTAACCTGAAATATCTTAATTGCGTGGGGTGTCTAAATTCCACATTTGGACACATGCCAAGAAGCATTTTGTGACCAAGGCTAACAACTTCTGATTTTTCAAAGGTGACGAAGAGCTGTATCTCTCATTGGTCCAAGACCAGTAATTGAGGCAACCAAAATCAGCAGCCTCTTTAAAAAGAATGCCCTTAAGAGTCCAGAGGAACTACACATTGATCAAACAGGAAACATTAAGGGAGGTAAAATTTTGGGTCTAAAATGATATGACACTGGCCCCACAGAGAAGTTTCCACTCTCTTCATATAGTTATGATGTTGCTCTCACCTTTTTCTTTTTTTAAGTATATACAGGGTTGAAATTTCAAAACTGCTCAGCATTGACCTAACTCTGCTCCCATTAATCTCAGTGCCCACCTGTTGCATCTAAATCTCTGTTAATTTTTCTGCTTTTGTTTTTCTTAAAACATTATAAACACCTTAAAATGCAAACAAGGTCCTCCTGATTGCAGAAAGTACATAAGCGGTGGGGCATAAGGAAAATTTTGCAAATTAACTGAAAGACGGTTAACGTTAATTAAGTTTGACAAAGAGTCATCAGGCACTGTACTTCTGACTAAGTTATATTGCTTTGGAATTTATGTTGGTCTGATGTTGAATAGTATTGCTTTTGAAGCTTCTGATATGACCCTTTAACCCAATGTGCCAAGTCTGCCTTGGCATGGCTTTGCTCTGCCAGCACTGAAGTTGGACTCTCTGGTCCAGTCCCTTAATTAAAATCAGCAAACTGGATTGTCACGTTGACTTCACTTTGCCTCCCTCAGGAAAGAGACCGCATAGCAACAAAGATAATCAGCTAGTATTTCACACGTATCAAGTATAAGAGGCGGAATCAATACATTCATGTCTGAAGAAAACAGAAATAACATTTTAAATATTAATTGTGTTACAGAGGTCTTTAAGATGGTGTGGTTACCTGTGAAGAACACTTCTTTACAGAAGACCCTTTTGAACCTGTCATGCTAGCATGTGATAGAGTCTGTCTCCATTTGTCTTGGAGTCCTGGCTTTTTTTGTTTTTCTTAAAAACTTTTTAAAACCCCATTTGAGGCTCAGACTCCATGCTATGGCCAGAGGGTATTCATGCCTCTTAAATTAGCTTCAGGACATTTGTGGATTTTTTAACTGTGTCTAGCAGGCCACTTCCTTCCTCCGATAATTGTCCACTTCTTTTTCCTCATGGTTTTGCATACGGGGGAGTAGTTCAACAACTGAAACACTTCCCAAACCAAGGTTACACCTGTGGCTTTTCTTCATGTCTTCGACACTCTCGAGAGCACAACCTTTGAGGGCTCACCTGTTTTTCTTGGTGGCTTTGTTTAGTTAATGATTCAAGTTCGGAAGCCTATAATTATCTTTACAGCACTGCACCACACTTATTTGGTATGACTGGTTCTGCTAGTTCTGTGCAAGTTCTGTGCAAACAGGACTCAAAGGTATTTAGTGTGCGCATGATCACTGGAGAGAGAACTAATTTTTTCATAATTGTGTGTAACAGGGATTATTCAGCTTCATGAATGGAATAACTTTGCCTTCAGTTCTAGTGAAGGCTAGTGTAACTATTTTAATGTAAAAAATAAAAACTGCAAAATCGTAGAGAAAGTAGAGCTTTTTTGCAAGAAAGGCCTAAATTGTCATAAGTGACTAGCAATTTTTGATGTCTTAATTTTTGGATGCCCAACTCAAGTCACTTTAAATACTCCTGTCTTTCTGAGGATGCTCAGCACTTCTGAAAATCAGGCCCCTCTATTTTATTTAGATTTTAAAACTCAATATTTAAGCTCCAGAGCTCTGAGCATGCTTGACATAAACTTAAAAGCACAATAAAGAAAAGTTACACAACCAGTCAAAGCAGCAGTACCAGTGGGCAGACTTGCTATACATTACATTTAAGGTGTCTCAAGTTGAGCTCCCCCACCCCCAATCGATGCATCCAAATTCAACAGTCTCTTTTGAAATTGGTAGCCAAAACCCTTTTAAAAATAGGGGCATAGGAATTGTTACTTTGTATTCTCGAACCACATAGGAGCTCCAGTCATGGGCCAGGACCCCATTGTGTTGGTCATTATACAAATACAGAACAAAAAGGTAGACTCTGCCCCAAAGAGCTTAAATTGCCTTAATGGATCATACCAACAGTTCATCTGGTCCAGTATCCTGTCTCTGACAGAGCCTATTACCATTTGGAGGAAGGTGTAAGAATCTAAGGCCACGGCTACACTACCTGCCGAATTGGCGGTTAGTAATCGATCTGTCGGGGATCGATTTATCGTGTCTCATCTAGACGCGATAAATCGATCCCCGAATCGACTCCCGTACTCCACCTCAGCAGGAGGAGTAAGCAGAGTCGATGGGGGAGCCGCAGCGGTCGACTTGCCGCCGTGAGGACAGCCAGGTAAGTCGAACTAAGATACTTTGACTTCAGCTGTGCGAATAGCGTAGCTGAAGTTGCGTATCTTAGATCGAAACCCCCTCCCCCCCAGTGTAGACCAGCCCTAAATAATGGCTAGTTAGGGAATAGTGTATCCATAGGGGAAGTTAGGCAGTTAGCAATTGGCTTGGTCCCTAAAGCATGAGAGTTAGTACCTCTTAATATTATCTTTTATCAAACAGGTGGAGTTTATTTTATCCATATAAATGTCTAATCCTTTTTTGAATCCTGCTAAACTCTTGCAGTCAATGGCATACTGTTTCAATGAGTTCCATAGCTTAACAATATGTTGTATAAAAAAGGAATTCCTTGTATTATTTTTATTTTGCTGCCTTTCAATTTAATTGAAAGTTCCCTTGTCCCTACTTACCTTCTCATTGTTTTGTGTACTTCTTTCATGGCACTTCTTACTTGTCTCCTCTCTGAATTTAACAGCCCTCGGGTAAATTTTTCAAAAGCACCTAAGTGACATAGGAGCCTAAGTCCCATTTTAAAAAATGACTTGGGCACTTAGGGACAGATTTTCAAAAGTATTTAGGTGCCTAAAGATAGAAAACTACTGGGATTTTCAAAATTGCTGAAGTAGGTTAGATGCCTAACATCCATTGAAATCAATGGGATTTTGAATATCTGGTCCTTAGAAATGCAAGTCTCACTGTATCAATAAGAGTTAGGCTCCCAGGTGCCTAAATCACATTTGAAAATGGGAATTATCTTCCTAAGTGTCACAGTCCTTTCTCAAAAGTTTACCCTTAACTTTTCACTCTCCTCAGATAGAATTTTTCCATGCCTCTCTATACTTTTCATTGGCCATCTCTAGACCCCTTCCATTTCTGCTGTGTCTTTTTTTGAGATAGCTTGACCAGAACTGAATATTTAATTCAATAGGTGAGTGAACTATTGACTTATATAAGGGCATTGTAACATTTTCTATCCCATTCTTTATATATCTTAATATTTTTTGATTGCCCTTTGCACATTGATCAGAGATTTTAATTGAACTGCAGACAGTGATGTCAGGGTCCTTTTCCTGAATGGTTGTAGTTAATTTAGAAATTAGCAATGCATAATAATAGCCTAAATTGCTTCTTCCACAATGTTTGTTCCCTTGCATTTGTGAACACTGAAATTAATCTTCCACTTACCTAGTTCTCTTAGATCCCTCAGGAGTCCTCTCTAGTCCTGACTGTTCTAAATTGTTTTATTATATGCAAAGTCTAATCATTATAATTAGCTATAATGATCCTGAACACTGCAATATTTATTTTTAAAGTACCATAGCTATTTAGCATTTTGTGAAATATTTATTCTGGATGTGTTGCTAAGTAGCATTATGGTTTTCATTAAATATATGCCATGCTCTTTGTATGAAACAG